CAGGCGAATTTTAAAACCCACAGGGACTCTTATTGGTTGAAGGGGGGGGGGAGACCTACTCTCCTCTCCCCCCCGGCCCCCACCCCTGGGCAGCGGGTGGGGGCCATATTGATAATGAGGGGGGGACCTACTGCCCCCCCCGGCCCCCACCCCTGCGCGGCGGGTGGGGGCCATATTGATAATGAGGGGGGGGACCTAATGTACACCCCCCCTCCGGCCCCCACCCCTGCGCGGCGGGTGAGGGACATATTGATAATGAGGGGGGGGACCTACTGTCCACCCCCCCTCCGGCCCCCACCCCTGCGCGGCGGGTGGGGGCCATAGTGATAATGAGGGGGGGGACCTACTGTCCACCCCCCCTCCGACCCCCACCCCTGGGCGGCGGGTGAAGGCCATAAAGACAAATGAGGGGGGGAACCTACTGTCCTCCCCCCCGGCCCCCACCCCTGGGCGGCGGGTGGGGGCCACAAAGATAATGAGGGGGGGACCTACTGTCCTCCCTCCCCGGCCCCCACCCCTGGGCGGCGGGTGGGGGCCACAAAGATAATGAGGGGGGGGACCTACTGTCATCCCCCCCGGCCCCCACCCCTGGGCGGCGGGTGGGGGCCACAAAGATAATGAGGGGGGGACCTACTGTCCTCCCCCCCCGGCCCCCACCCCTGGGCGGCGGGTGGGGGCCACAAAGATAATGAGGGGGGGACCTACTGTCCCCCCCCCCGGCCCCCACCCCTGGGCTGCGGGTGGGGGCCCTAAGTAAATCCCCCCCAAGCCCCTAGTCACCCCCCCACCACCCAAATAAAAAGTCCCTACCTACCCCCCTCACCCAAAAAAATAGTGAGGGGGGAATAAAATAACTAACCTGTAAAATAAAAGTAAACTTACCATTCGACATCTTATTTTTTCTCAAATCTTCTTTTTTCAGCCTCAAAAAAGGCCGAATAAAAAACCATCATAACCGTCGAATTGAAAATAAAATAAAAATCCCGAGCGCAAAAAAAAACCCAACGAAAAAGAAAAAACCAGAGCGCAACAAAATAATCCATCTTCACCCATGGAGGGCTCCGCGCAGACTGAGCTCTGCAGGGCGGGGGAAGGCTTATAAAGAACACTCTGATTGGTGGGTTTAAGCCAATCAGAGTGCTCTTTGTCATTTTAGACAGCGTAGGAAAATTCAAAAGAACTTTCCCATGCTGTGTAAAATGACACAGAGCACTGTGATTGGATGGCTTGAAAGGACCTACTGTCTGCTCACTGTTTAATAGACATGCCCCTACTCACGGTATTGCGAGTAGGGGCACAATTTACTAATACTAAGTAATTTTTACTTAGTATTAGTAAATTAATAGGGGGCGGACCGAACATCGCATATGTTCGCCGTCGGCGGCGAACGCGAACACGCTATGTTCGCCAGGAACTATTTGCCAGCGAACCGTTCGGGACATCACTAATCTCCCATGACAGTGCATTAATTATTGGAAGAGCTGAGGGAAGCTCTCTATCAGGCTAATGGGTTCATACCCTGTGCACCCAGGGTGAGGCATGCTGCAGGGAGGCATGCTGTTACAGAATCTGTCAACTGCTGGACAGGATTTTCAGCACTAACTGCTTACAGGAATTTCTCCCTCGACAACAAATGTAATTGTTTGAGAACTGATTGATGCACTCTACCGGGGCGGTGGCAAGCACTTAAGGGTTCGGATGCTGTGCACCAGGGGTGAAACCTCTACTATATGTACGCTGCACTATACTGCTGAGGGAAGACTTATTGGGACAGCCTCTATTAACCGCTGGACAGACTTTTCAACACTTCCGGTTTTAACAGGAAGTCTCCCATGACAGTGCATTAATTATTGGAAGAGCTGAGGGAGGTTCTCTATCAGGCTGATGGCCAGCACTTAAGGGTTCATACCCTGTGCACCCGGTGTGAAGCCCCTACTATATGTGCGCTGCACTGGAATGCTGAATGGAGGCATGCTGTTGCAGCCTCGGCTACCTACTGGACAGGATTCCAACATTGCCTGCCTCAAGGCATATCTCCCTTGCCAGTGACTTAATTGTGGGAGAACTGATGGACGCTCTCTATCAGGGCTGTGGCCAGCACTTAAGTGTTTATACCCAGTGCTCCTAGGGTGAGGTCCTACTTTATGTGTGCTGCACTGTGCTGCTGAGTGGAGGCATGCTGTTGCAGCCTCTATTTACTGGGTGAGCCCCAGTCTATTTTATTTGGCCACTGTTCAGAGTACAACCCTGCTGGGGTTTCTGTGAACACTACCTACTACTATGGTATACTGATCTGTTTGCCCTGCATCCTTAGACTGCCTACTGGTTTGTGCCTTCTACAGGGGTATCCCATATCATGATAAAACTACCTGTCTATTTCTCTCTGGGGGATCCACGCTTACTGGTTAATGGCTGTGTAACCAACACATCCTTCACCCACGTTTGAGAGACTGGTCCCCTCCCGATCGCCTGGCTACTTTTTGCATCTGTGGCTTTGCAGCCTACGATGTCCCTAAATGCATGGGGTCAGACGACCCATGCCCTCCCCTCTCGGATGGAGTGGCACAGATGGCTGCATTTGACCAGCGGATGATGTCCTTCAGGGCTCTAGGCGATTGCGAATCCGCAAGGGAACCAGGAATCAAAGACACCCAAGACTAACTGCTAGGCCCTATCATGAGTAAAATACCGGAATACGCCAACACAGTCCGGGAATAGGCTCCCGATGTTCATGAATAGACTCAAGGATGTGTCTGTTCATCAAAAACCCCAGTGTTCTCCTCTCCTATGTGAAGCGCATAGCAGCACTTCTCCGTATTGATGGATGGTTGGCGGGTCTGGGCGCCAAATCATTGGGACCCCAGGCACAAGGCACACTTTTCCTGAGGAAACATATAGCACATGTTTATGGTCCCGCGGCCCTCATAAAGTCCCACACCTCCAGGAGGAAGGTGTTATGTGGTAATCCCTAAGGGGTGTTCTTCGGGACCGGCTGACAGCAGGGCTTTGTCACCAACCACTTTGTGACATCTGACCACGTAACCCGCTATCGCTAACTCTATTACCCTGTAGGAGCGAGAGTCAACCTCGGGTGCTCCAGATGATTGGACAGAGAACACAGAATGCGCAGATGCGCAAGATACCATTTCTCCTCAGGTAAATGCCTCTAAGTTACCATCCACTGTACTTTCTACTCCGCCCACAAGAGTTTCCATCATCTCTAGGCAGAAGGCATTCAAACCTAATAAGGAACCTTTCGCATCGACGACATAGGTCTCTTCTATCTTCGAGGAATTTTCACACGGTCCTTCACTGCAATCCCGTGACCCTACATACACTTACCTGGATCGACCTTCCTCCATCTGGGCCATATTCCCAGACTCGCTACTTTACCAGGACTGGCAGTGAGGCCTGGACAGGTTCACTCAGAAAGACCCCTACGATCAACCAGACTTTGCTTGGTAGTCGGATGCCAGCTTGTGAGGCAAGGAGCTACGAGGACAACCTGCGAGACCACACCCACAGAAACAGGCTCACAATTCAGGAATTCTCCCTTCACGTTAGATCTAGCATTCCTTGTGCAGTACTTGCCTGGTAAAGGAGTACTTTGCCGGTTGCATCCTACTGCGGATGGACAGAGCATTGACAGGTATACCAATCGCCTGGACAGAACTAACCCCCGTCTTCTATCAGACATCATGAAAGGCATCTTTGATTCCTGCCTTACTTGCAGAACCTCGAGGTCGGCCTACCTCCCGGGGGAGACACATATCAGAGGGACTGCCAGAATGCGGTGTTCTTCAATTGGCACATTGCACGAGGGTGCACAATAATGATCGCACTCTGGCCACCCAGGCCTCCCCGGGGGACGTATGCTTTTTCCTCTCTTGTGATGATTGCGAAACTTCTCCATCATCTCATTGTTCAGCGAACAACACCGCCTTTGCCTTCCCGCTGTTACGGAGTCAACCTAGTTACTCAGACCTTATGGGACTGACTGGTGAGGATCTCCTCCTCCTACATTCATATCCTACTATTCTCACAGATCTGAAAGAAACCTGCATCTTCTCTTCCTGGAGGGTCGGCTGACCCTGGTGGCCAGGACTCTTGCTGGGGTTCTTGGCAGGTCGGCGAACTATTGGGGACCTCTTAGGAGTCTCTTGGGCCCCAGGGACGTAACGATGCTACCTCCTGGACATTCCCGGTCTGATTGATGTTTGGAACTGTACCTCAATCCAGAAAACAGAATGAGGTGTATCTAAATCATGATGCAAGATATAAGCACCAACAAAATTCCAGATAGCCACCAAATAGCCTACTATAGAGGCCAGATAAAGCCACTAAAAACAAAAATAATAAAAGTTTATTGTACAGAATAAATATGAAACCCAAACAAGTGCTACCATATACACACCCAAAAATAATAAATTAAAATGATTACTAGACAGGTCTATAAAGAAACATAGATCGTCTAAAGCAAAGTAAAACAACAAAATATGTTGTAGCAGATCAAAAGATGAAGACCATTCCTGTCAGTTATATCTGGTCATAAGCCAGGCTAGAAAAGCAGAATGCCAATCACATGGATCGGTAAATATATTGGATCTGGCACTTTAAATCTCCATAATAGAATAATGTACCATATATGACTTATCCAAGGTATGAATCAATATGGAGAGTCAATTATCCGTAGTGATAAATAATAAACCAAACCAAAAAGTCGGTCTAATAATAGGTAGATCGATTGTAAGGTCTGTCTCTTGGGATGAGGTACTAATGGACAGAGTAGATCTTCTAAATAGCTAAACAAAAACTAATATTGGTAGATATAAATCACAACAAAGAAAAGATAAGGTAATTAAATCGATATTAAACTGATAGAATAACGAATTTTAGAGTAATGGAGCGATAGCCTGCATGAGAAAATTCTGCTAATAAGCTGGATGGACAATATATCTGTGGATAAATCCCAGCATGTATAGACTAAGCCGACAGTGGGAAAGTCATAAAGATACGTCTGGGGGGAACATAATAAGGGAGAGGAATACATGAGAAAAAGGTTGTAATAGAAGGTGCTACAAAGTATCTATTTGGTAGCACACAAAATCTATAGAGAGTTATTAGCAATATAAAGGACAAAAATGTGTCTAAGTAGTACCCTCTATGAATATGTATATGTGTCCCGTGCCTTCGAGGGCACCTAGCTCCAACCCCCCAGATGTCCGATGAATAGGTACATCTAAAAAATAATAGGATCTGCAAAAATAATAAATGAAGATATAAGAAATAAATATAAGAAATGGACAGCGCGGTCGCCAGTCTGTGTGCTGCACGAAGGGTCCAACACGTGCAGCACACCCCAGTCCTCTGACGCGCGCGTTTCGCTACACCTAGCTCGTCAGAGAGGAAACGAGAGGTGTGTTAGCACCGGGTTTAAAAATACAAAGAAATCACCTGATTGGTCCGAACAGGCAACTCCTAATTGGTTGGATAGAATGATGACGTAACGGGGGACATTGCCGAAAACGGAATGATACAATAATTAACCCATTAGGTCAAGTTAAAGCATACCAAACTAGGCAATATATATTACCAACTAGAATCACTGTACCTCAATCCATTATGGGGTGGTTTGGACAGCTCTATGGCCCGTGTCCCGGTCTGGGGACTCCCGAAGGACAAGGATCCTAAACCGTATGTACCAATTACCCAGTGACATCCACCTCTGGCTAATGGAATGTGGAGGTTTTTCTCCATTTTTTTCTACGGGACTGGGGCACCTACTGATAGACTTTTATGCTTGGATCGGTGGCTTTCCGCCAGGTACCGGATGATCGGGCGTTCAACGGGGAAGTTACTCCCATAGACCCGACGTGCTAGGTATCCCATCGCACTTTCGGCTTCTTCATTAATTTTCTATTTCTTTCTCAGTGTTAAAAATGCAAAATACAAAGCCTCCTGTCATGTTGTAAAATTGAAGATGATGCTAGCTTTAGTGTACTAATAATCTTAATTTTAGTAATGACAGGAGGCGAGTATTTTCCCTCCCTGCTTCGCTACCCACCCTTTCTGTTCGTTTTCTTTGCATGTATCATGTATCATGGGTCTAATGTAGGTTTGGCTCTCAATGTTTTGTGCTTACATTGATGATTGTATTTCCATTAATCTGGAATTCTCATTGGAGTTTTTACATTATAGTTATTCAGTTATTAGATTGTAGTTTGCAATATTCTTCTACGGGATGATGTATACGGTACATGGATTTACATGTTCATGACTTTGTGTCTAAACCTGTCACACATTATCTTTTCAGTATGATTCATCTCTGAAGACATTTGGTTGTTCATGTGAAACTCTCTGAAATTTTAATCCTTTGGATTTGATTCGTCCCTGAACACATTTCGTTGTGTGTGTAGAATTCACGGCGGAAATTTGCTCCTTCAGATGTTGGATTTAAGAGTTATTGTTTTGCTTGTTATAGGTTTACTTCTGCTTGATCTCGCTTTCTGAAAGAGGAAATTATGAGGTCACTATGCCTTATGTACATCCTACTATCTTGTGATTGGTTCTTTTTTCTATATGTTTCTTTGCTGCTGTGTGGAGCTAGTAAAGAGAGATTATGCAAAATACTCGCCTCTTGTCATTACTAAAATTAAGATTATTAGTACACTAAATCTAGCATAATCTTCAATTTTCTTTTCCTGGCTATTATTCATGGCAGCATATACTGCCCACCCATTAATGTCTCTATTTATCTACCTTTAGAGCTTGTAAATTGACTGAGGACCTTAGGAATGGAGCCTCCTTTTAAAGCCTTGGTGTTTTTCCTGTCCTATCGGCTGTAAGAGGCGGAGTTAACCCATATGTATATGCTGCCATGAATAATAGCCAGGAAAAGAAAATTACGATAAGTATGAATACATTTTCCACTATATACACACATGCACACACTTTTATTTCCTATATATGTATAATATATTATAATTAAAGCATTTTATAATATATTACACATATAATGCATATATATGATTTCATTATAAGTGTATTTTGAGATATGTGTATATTTTTAAAGTACACTTATAATTATTATATCTATAGATCCCCAGCACTCACATTTAAAGTATACCACTACCAGGTGCAAGACCAAGACCAAGGCTCCAATAGAAAGACAATCCAATGAGGGAGGCTGCTCTCCAGACTTAAAACTTCAGTTTATTATTATTGATTAAAAATGATGACCAACGTTTCGGTCCCCACTCAGGACCTTCTTCAGGGTCAAATACAACAAGACAAGACACAAGACAAGACTTAGGGAAGGGTGTGTTAAATAGGGTAACAAGGGGGTATTGGGTGCGGTATCAGGTAGCATCGTTATGTTTGGCAAGGTGTTGTGGTCAAATGTTAGACATAGTCAGTGTCTAGTGCTGTATCTTAGTTCTTGGTCTTGTTAGCCTTGTGTTGCATTAGGCTGTGTTGTTTTGTTTAGGTGTTGTTGGTTTTTGTAGGTGGGCTCTCCACATCTTGGAAATGGTTGGGCTTAGCTTCCCTATGTTCAGTTGGTTCCACATAAGGAGTTCGTAGTCTACTGTTGCAGACATTAGGGTCTTCCAGTTCCTGGATATCAGGGTGGACACTGTACATAGTATGAGAAATATCATTTTCCGTGTTGGTTTGGGGATGTTTTCTGGGATTAACTTGAGAAGTACTGCTGCTGGTTCGTGTTGTAAGGTATAGTTGTGATTTCTCGGATCAGATGTTCGGTGGTTTTCCAGAGCTCATTTACTGTATCGCAGGACCACCATACATGTAACATAGTGCCTACGTGTGAATTACATCGCCAGCATATGTCCATTGTGGTAGGGTATATGGAATGTAGTCGGGAAGGTACCATGTACCACCTATAAAGTATTTTACGTGATGTCTCGAAGTGGGCAGCGCAGGTGGTTAGTCCTTCGTGTGACGTGAAGATTGTCTCCCATTCTTGTGGAGTTATTTGTCTTTGGAGATCTTCTTGCCAGTCTCTCATGAACTTCCAGTCAACGTCTAATTTGGGGTTCGCTAGATGGTAATAGCAACCTGAGAGTGTTTTCTTTGGGGGTGTTGTCGCTACGCATTGTAGTTCGAACTTAATTACTGAAGCTTGCAGTGTCTGTTTCCTCTTGCTGATCGTGTTTTCAGATAGTAACGCTTTTATTTGGAGGTGAGCGAATGTGAAGTTCGAGGGGAGTGTGTACTCTGTTTTGTAGGTCTGGAAAGGGTTTTAGACCTTCAGCTGTGTAGAGGTGGTATAGGTGTGTAATGCCTTTCACGTTCCATTTCTGGTGTGAGAATGTGCCGTTGCAGTGGTATAAGGTCCTGATGGGGGCAGCCAGGGCCCATGGGTGGGTTGAGCATAGTTTGCTTCTGTTGGCACCCCATGTAGATATCAGTAGTTTGGTGGTGGGTAGCATGTCCAGGGTTCGAGGTCTCAGGGTTGGGGGCGTCCATAATGTGGAAGGTAGTTCATTGTTGCAGCAGAACTGACTTCCCAATGCCACGCATTGGGGGTTATGTGAGGTCGAATGTGCGCAGATGACATTTGTGAGGAGGGCCGCTCGTTAGTATACTTTTAGGTTTGGGAATCCCATGCCTCCATGCTTTACGTGTCTGATGAGTAGGGCTTTTGGGACTCTGGGGTGCTTTCCGCCCCAACTAAAGCGTAAGAGGGTAGCTTGTAGTTTTGTCAAGTAGCTTTGTGAAACTTGTAAGGATCAGAAAAGATAAAGGATCTTGGGAAGTATTGTCATTTTGATTGCTGCTATTTTCCCTACCCATGATAGAAAAATATTTTTCCAGTTATTTAGTTGATTTTCAATTTCTTTCATCAGCCTTGTTTAATTTGCTGGGAATAGTTCGCTCGGTTTGCTAGTTATTCTGATGCCTAGGAATGTTAGATAGTCTACTCTCCAATCGTAGTCGTGGGCTGATTTCAGGATCGCTTCCGTGGGTTGAGGGACATTGAGGCACATCACTTGCATTTTAGTGATGTTTAACTTATAGTATGACTGTCGGCTATATGCTTTCATAAGGAGTGAAATGAGAGGGCTGGGAGTGAAATGAGTGGTTGGGTGAGTGTGAGTAGTATATCATCCGCGAAGAGGTTGAGTTTATGTTCTGTTTGGCCCACAGATACTCCTCCGATGTTATGGTTATTGCGTATGGCTATGGCTAGGGGCTCTAGTGCCAGGACATACAGAAGGGGTGATAAAGGGCATCCCTGGCGGGTGCCGTTAGTGATTGGGAAGGGCTTTGAGCAGAAACCTGAGGACAGCACTGTGGGGGTTGCTATATAGGGCCCGGACCACAGATAGGAAGGGCGGTGGGAAGCCGTAGAGCGACAGGGTTTCACATAAGAAGTGCCAGTTTAGGCGATCAAAACCTTTACCTTTGGGCATTTTGTCGATGTGGTGAAGGATCTTCTCCGTGGTGATGGGCATGGCGAGTTGCGTTGCTTGTTGTGAGCGAATTTTGGGGAGTGCTATTTTGTTGAGGTATGTTCTTATGGTCTCTGGGGTTGGTCGAGGCTTGTTGGGGTGGTCTTGCAAGTTATATAAGGTGCCGTAATATTGAGCAAATTCATTGCATATTTGCGCAGGTTGCATTACTTTTTGCCCAGATTGTGTGTAAATGAATTGTGTTCTCGTTTGTGCTTGCTTGTTGCGGAGTCTTTGTGCTAAAGGTTTCATGGCCTTGTTTCCCATTGAGTAGGAAGTGGCTTTGAGTTTTTTCAGCGCCGCGTTTGCCTTGCGGAGGTAGATTTCGTGGATTTCATTTTGTGTGGTTTGTATTTGTTGTTGGAGTGCCTGGGTGGGGTTCGCCTGGTTTAATCTGTGAAGGTCTTGGACTTTTTTGAGGAGTGTGATCATTGCGGTGTGGCTGATCTTTTTAAGATAGGATGCCCTGTTATGGGCAAATGCAAATATTACAAGTTTTAGAATGAAATGTTGTATTTCTTAAACTGTGTACTTTGTCTTTAAGAGATATTGCAACCTGACAAGGTGTTAGAAATGGAACATATTGTTTTTCATAGATGTTTCTTTAAGCAATAACCTCAGTGCATAATATGTTTGCGCCATTTTGTCCCAGACGAAATACAATAATGCATAAACAAGCTTCAAGGCTATACTACGACTCTTTCAGTACACAATATACTGTGGTAACCTTAAGTAGATAAGGATGTCCAGACTTTAAGATGCCATCTTGAACTAAGT